CCGGACCCTATAATATGTTCTACATAAGTTCTGAGATCTTTTTTCTAATTTTTGCTGAGTCTAAAATTATTCAAATCAATTTAAAAAAAAAGACATTCCTAAACATTTGCTGTCGATCAGTTAAATTCATATTCTGATTTTTTTATGTGCAAGACTACGTTACGTACAATTATTATTGGATTGTCCGGAAAATTCGTGCCGATAACTAACCTATATAATTTAGTAAATGTATACTAAAATTTAAATTTTCTGCGTTTCAATTTTCCTTCAACATCGGCACGAACTTTCCGGACAACCCAATATAATCAATTATTATTGATTAAGTTAATTATTAATAATAAATTTTTAATATTAAATTTATTTTAATATTGAATTTAATTTGAACTGAGGCAAGTGTGCACTTATTTTTCTCACCAATGACAATCCTCTTCCCTCTATCCTTCAATGCATACAATCGCTGTATAGTAAAGATATCTAAAATGATATCAATCAGTTCATAAAATAAAACAGAAATAATAATCTAGAATAATAATCAGAAAAATAATATACAATAATAATCAAGTGCAATTAATCTTTAGGAATGAAATATATATTTGATAGATATTTTACATTTTCAAATAACAGTACGATTGGCGCGTAGCTTTAGTATAGATTTTTGTGTGGCGTATTGTTTACGCACTGTCAGCCTGCTATCATTCAACTTTGAAATTCTATTCTGGCAGGTCAGTGTCACTTCAAATATCTTCATATTTTTTTTTTGGAACGCAATCATGATAAGTGATAGATAATACGAAACATCATATATTATCATTCACGCAACTACTACCTTACACGGTTGTTAGTTGATTTTGTAAATGGATCGAGATAATAAGTATATCGAGATAGTATCATATATCATAGATAGATCATATATCACAGACGTTTCATGCAGTTTAATCATTTAGAAATAAAACAAGATAAAAAATAGAATTTATAACTGGATATATATACTTTCGTGATGATTTATGATAATCATTTTTGTTTAATACAAAATTTTTCTTTCGTTTGAATCTTTATACATATCTCTATACATTTTTAACTGTATATAAATTAGAAATAAAGTAACGTTAATAAATAACGTTACAAATAACACAATTCATGTAATTCCATAATTAATACAGATTGCGTAATTAATAACAATTTAACTAAATTCTCGTTTTTATCTTTCGATGAAAACATATAAAAATTAAACATTTGAGAATTTTATGATTGTTTACCGATAATGATAATAAATAGGAAATAAATAAAAAAATTATTTTTCATTCTTATTAATATCTAGCCAACTCGATTGATGTCGTAATTACATATTACAAAAATTATAATCAAAATCTATCTTTTCTACCTATTCTAAATTTGTTTAGTTGCATTAGTGATAAACTAACGCTTGATTGACATTCGATCATTTTTACAAGTGAGCCATGAATATTATATTTCAAATGATATTTTCCTTTCCAAGTGTACAACTTCGACGAAGTAAGAGAGTTTCGGTACTTTAAGTTTTAAGGATATGTACATAATATGCCTTTCTTACCTTATAATTTTCATATATATCTAAATTATATTAGTATATAGCTAAATTTTTAGATATTTGAGAAAAATCATAATCTTCATATAAAAGTCTAACGATGGAGAAGTTGCCGGTTTAAATAAACGAATCATAATCAGATTCTTTGAGTCGTACGTCTGCTTCGATAATGCCGTTGAAATTATCGAATTAATGAACTTTTCATGGCTCGACATTTGATGGAAAATTAATTCAAAGTGGTGGGATCATATCGCTCCAATGTTTTGACGGCAAGTAAGAGGCATCCTCACAAAGAGGCATTGTTTGCAGTGATCAGTGTTATTGCATCGTCGACATTTATCATGTGTTTTGTACATACTCGACTATATTCGTCGGCTCTAAGATATTTACAGTTCTTACTCTAAAAAAATTATCTTAAGAAATATTTAAAAAAATTAAGTCCTGTGATTGAGTTGTAACATCTTAAAATGGTACTTAATATGAATGGTACTTAAATGTTTTTAAAATGCTTTTGTAAGAGGATGATAATCCTGAGAGAAGAAAAAGTCAGGTATCGGCGAACCTAGAAGTATTTTTTATCTATATATAAATAATAGCTCATTCTCTCATTTATTCAAACTATTTTTATCTCAATAAATTAATATTTAAAAAAGAAAAGTCATCTAAATTTTATAAAAGTTTATTTTTGTTTCTGAGATTTTTTTTTTTCGAAAAATATAGATAATTATACTCTACATTCATTTCTCAATTTCTTTATATGATATTTTTTATATGCATATAAATAACTTTCCTTTACGCGGTATTTTTCATAAATTTTCATTATTTTTTATACAAATATGTAAAATAAATATTTTTACAACATACATGTCTTTTCTCTTTATCTTTTTTGTACTGACAAACTCTTTGTTCTCAATTTTGTACAAATATCACGTAGAATGTATATTCCACGAAAAACAAATGCCTCTAATAAATATGTAATTCTAAAATGATTATAAAATTCAATGCGCCTAAGAACTATGAAACGTTAACTATTTCGAGAATATATATTGAATTAAAATCTCATTATTTTGTACAACAATATCGATCATCGTAATTACGAAAAACTTTGTTTGTTACATATCGGATGTTAAATATAAATTATTAAAATATTTACAACTCAAATTGAATTAATTTAATTTTTCACAAATATTATTTATAATTGATACTGTTTAATTTTTTCAAATATTAAAAATTTTATTTTATTAACAAAACCATTGCATTATATTATGAATCATTTCAGCGAAATTTTTCATCAGTTGCTACTATCATTTTGGAATTTTATCACCACTTTGTCTATTGGTGAAGGTAAGGATTAAACAAAAGTAATGATGACTTGCATGTATACAGTAATATCATTTACTGTGCGATATTTTTATAGCTCAGTAGCGTACATTAATTAATTTTTTACATCGTGTTATCATCTTATCACTGTTCTATAGAATTAACATTTATTGCATGATTGAAGAACAAATCTGCATGAGTTGAATGTTGATTTCAATCAAGAATAACCTCAGTTATTCACGACTCTAATATAGATATCAAGTGATAATATAACGATGCAAATATAAAGTCTGTAAATTTAGTGTTACGTGTATCATTTTAAAGCTGACTTACGAAACGGAACAGTGAAATAATTTAAGAGAAATTAACAATTGAAGACGAAGATGAATAAAACGTCAGGTTAGTTCTTTTAATGTAATTCTTTTTATCAATACTTTAAGTTTTCTATATTAAACTGCAGCAATAGAACTTTTTTCTTACTTGCACAAAATATTTAAATAAAGGATAGTTGATATACGGGATATGATGATATATACACTTAAAATGTAAATGATATATACACTTAAAAGAAACATTAAATGTAGCATTTATTATTGTGTTTATTATATCATATATTATTATATATCATAATTTCAACTATTTCTTTAGAAAATTTACTTTATGAGCAATAATTTACAATTTAATATATTTGAAAACATAAATTATATGTACTTATATATGTCTATAATAATCACATATTATCACGTAATATTTGAAAATTATTAATAAAGTTATGTTATGCACATTTTTTTATATTTTCTTTAATTATATGCGTATTATTAAAATCTAGATCTGTAATATTGACTTTATAATGAGTCTGAAGTTTAATGGAATTCGATTGGAAGAACTAGTATGCACTAATGCATATTAAAGACATTGTAAACCGACTTAATTTGAGTATAAAAATGAAATGCAAATATTTCGAATTATAAAATATTTTACCTAATATTTTACCTAATAATGCAATAAAATGTATTAAGTATTTAATCGATTTCTATGTTTATATATAATATATTTTATATTATTTTTATATTATTTTCTTTATTTTATACGTTTGTAACAATGATTTTAATCATACTGAGTGCGCCCAATTGAATTCGCTATAAATCTTAATCAATGAAATTGGCCAATCAGCGTTAATTGTACAAGTTGGCTGTTGATCAGCTTCACCGATATAAGACTTAGAACTACCGACCTCCGACTTATTAACGGGATGAGCATGACAATTGATTCCAATAACTATAATAAGTGTAACAATTAACCCAATATTTAGAGCCAATTATTATAGATGTCATCACCTTATATTTTCCATTAATAAACTTTTCATTTTAAAAAAGAAATTACTTCATATTGAAATTTCTGATCTCTACAAAACAATTAGCTTTTTGCAGAAGAGAATAGCCTCGATTACTTAGACTCTTATTAACTCTTTACTTGACCATTTGTGGCAACCTGTGGCATCCTATCACATCATCATCACAAATCCTTTTATAAATGTGAAAAAGAAGACTATTTTTAAAACATAAAAAGAAATTTTGTTGGTTAATGGCGGAAAAAGAATTTGATAATTCCAAGATATCCAATCAATACATTTTTTTCTGTATTAGGAACGACAAAAAAGAAATTAAAATGTGAAAGTTTAGTCAAAATATTTCTTTGATTGATTCTAATGAACCTTTAGTCACCATCAATCGAACCTGACAAATTTAGAGGCATTTCTTTTAATTCATTAGAACAAACTAACAAAAAAAAATTCGTCAATTTAAGTGAGACAAGCATTCCTGCAATGTAACAAATCTGTTACAACTGGGTAGCAATTTTAATATCCCAGATTCCAATAATAAAGAGAAATCAATCAGAGAATTCAAAGATATTGAAAGCTTCTTCAATCGCAATAACTTATGATTGATATCGAAAATTAGGAACATCGCCATTCCGGAATTCCATCAGTTTCTCTATAATAATCCACTTGAATATTCATGATAGAAAAGTTAAGATGAATTTAACGACAAAATGATGTAATAATAACAGAGACATACTTTTCACACAAGCGAACAAAGGCAACGTAACCGTAGCCATGGATATGATCTTTTGTAATAAGATTATTGAACTATTTAAAGATACATATTTGGTAGTTAAAAAAAATCGGCAATAGTGATTGAAAGAAATTTTAATAATATATTAAAAAAATGGCATCAGAAATTCATTTCGGATAAGGAATTGTCTTCGATTAAGTGATTCCATCCTGCTGAAGGCATGCTTTACCAAAAATACACAAGAAAGGTGTTTCCTTTAGAATTATTGTTTTTTTCAATCAACACAGTTTTATATTCGTTAGTATAATGATTTCATTAGATATTATTTTTCTGTTCATTAATATTCCATTGGATGTTGCGCTGGATTGATAGGAAAGTGAGACTCCATTAAAGATATCACAATCATATCAAAGAATGAATTCATTAATGCGGTCGAATTTAACATCGACATATTCTATTTTTAATGGGATTATTTACAAACAAACTTTTGGCATATCTATGAGTTCTCCCCTTTTGTCTATCATTTCTGACATTGTCATTGGAGGATTTGGAAGAGAGAATGTTAAATTCTTTTCAGGTTTCTGCATACTTTATATTGATGATATCTTTATGATCTTTATGATTGTATCTAAAGATAAAGTCATTCAAATTTTAAATTCATTTAAACAACATGATAGACATTTGAACAACATGATAGACTTAAATTCATTATTGAATATGAGGAAGACCATTGTCTGAATTTTTTGAATTTACGGTCATCAATAAAGATAATATTATTATTTTAGATTGGTACCATAAAAAGATGTTCTCGGAGGTATTTATCTTCTTCTATTCGAATCATCATCCCGCATGTCATAATAAAAAGATCATAGCTTAATTGATAAAGCGATCTTATTGTCAAATTCTACATTCTATAATAAGAACATAGAATTTATAATAGAGAATTTGAAAGTTAACGATTATCCTTTTTTAGGAATGATTTTTTATTATATTAACAAAAGGATCCAAAGTTTGGTTTATAAAAAATTTACGATTAATAACACCAACTCAGATAACGTTGACACTGACTTGTGGAGTCTTGAGAGAAATAATGGTATTCTCATATATAAGATCTATTTCTAATAAAATTACTAAAATTAAATCTAAAAAAAAATTAAATCTATTAATAAATCCAAAAACATGACTATAAACAAGCTTAATAAATTAAGGTAAAGTCGCCTAATACGAGATATCTTTTTTTAAAGACTTGTAATTTATTTAATTTGCAACCTTTCCTATTTTCGTGTTAATTTTATGGGAAATATATTCAAGATTTATCACCAAAAGTTAGCGACCGATAGCTACTTTAGTACTTTAGTACATAACTACTTTATTGTATGTGAAATTTTTTTATCGAAAGTGCCGATTTTATTTATTCAAAAAAAGGGTTCTTAATATGAGATATAAGAGTTTTCTATTATGAGATGGTACCTCATAATAGAAAACTAAGGAAAAAATAAAGATAAGCTTTTTATACAGCCTTTTATTATATTATATACAAATAGGAAAGAATTTAAATGTTACATATAATTATATAATCTTTGATGTGTGTCATTATATGTGTATGTGTGTGTGAGTAATCTTAACAATAGAATCGTCATTTTTAACATTTCATTCAATAGTATGGTTTGAGATATTAAATTGTTTAGATGCTCTCATGTTAGCTAGGAAACACCCTGAGTATCTCATATTACGACTTTCATGCCTCGTTTCATGATCATTGAAGCTAATCTTTATAATTAAACAAATTCATTATCACATGTTTTCCTATTAATACGACCTCAATGTATCACTGCATGCAGACTTTATTATCAAATATTTATTTATTATAATAAAACAAGGTTTGAAGACTAACCTCAATAAAATTTGACAATATCCAATTTCAAGAATCTTTTTTCACAACATGCATGGTTTAATAATGAGTTTTCCTACTAAATATGTTTCATTCTGTGAATTTAATAAGAAGTTTAGTAGAAAAGAAATGAGTAATAAGTTCATAATAAGTTCATAATAAATTCATAATAAAATCAACCACATGCTTATTAGTTTAGCAGAAATTCCACTATCTCATATTGAGAATCCCATAATAGGCGACTTTAATCAAATATAAAAACTTATCAAAGTTCATAAAGACAAAAATCAATATGATAAAAATAATAATGTCATATATAAAGTAAACTATAATAACTGCGATGCATCGTATGTTGGCCAAACGAAGAGACAATTGCAAACAAGAATTAAAGAACATCACATTAATATAAAATTAAACCAGTCCAAATAGTAATCTCGAAACATATCATGGAAATTAATCATGACTTTGATTGGGAAAAAGTTAATATTTGATTTTAAAAAGAATTATCATAAAAGAAATATTTCTGAAACACATATTAAAAAACAAAAAAAACGGTTTAAATTTAATGAAAGATATTTAGTTATTGGGTAATTCTTATTTTAACATACTTGATGATATACGAGAATATAAATGATCACAGTTTTGAATAGACTTTACATTCGATTTTAATGTTTAATTCGACTTATTTTTATTTGACCTTCACATCAGTTAATTTTCAAACGAGCAACAATCAGTAACTTTAATGTAACCGAATTGAAAAATTTTGATTGAGAGCTTAGATTACAGAATTTTATATAAATTACCGTAAGTTATTATTTGATTTCTGTATCTCTATTCACACTAATAATATATTATCTTAATAAATCTATTTGTTTTACAGAATATCATAAAATACTCCTAATTAAAGAATTCTCAAATGGTTTGATACAAGTCTGTAACAAATTGGATTCTCGATTTCAACCGAGGAATTGATAAATCTATCTTTATCGATAAACATAATTAATCTACTGTTGACTAAAGTATCTAAAGTTCTTATCTTATTGTCATCTGGCAAAATACTTATTGACGTTCGAATTTTTTAATATTCTTTTTATATTTTGACACTTCACCATTGATAGTTTTTAAATTTTCATTGTATCCGTTATTTTTTGTACGTTAATTTAAGATTGTATTCTGCATTGTAGCACTGAGGAAAGCTTTGTAAATTGAAACGTTTGTTAATTATATTAATTCAAAGTTAATTTAATTATAGCTCGAAATAAGTCATGACATTGTGTTAATTTTTAACAAAGATAATCATGCTATTAAATTATAAAAATAATTTCTGTGTTGTTACTGTCGTTTAAGAATATGACTACTGAAAAATTTTCTTGCGGTTTATAAATATAGAATTTAGCAACTTACATCCAACATTGGCTCTCCCTAATACATTTTAATTGAATGTTTTTGCATATTGGAAATGTTGTAATTAATTGTATAAGTTAAATGGTTTTTGTGTTCTATAACGTAATGAAAAGGACATTATTTTTCGATAAGTATCTCTAATTCCAATTCTACTTTCAGAAATGGTAGAAACATCATGGCTAGATCTATGCTTTATGGAGAAAATCCTGCGAAAATCGGAAAACGACGATTCGATTCAAGTTACCCATATAGTTTCGAAACCGGCTACAAGCAAGGGTGACAACTACACTAGCGACATGATTAGAATTACTGCCGAATATTCACGTAACTCTAAGATTAAAGAGAAAAAATCCATCATTATCAAACTCTCTCCTGTACACGGTGTCCGACAGAAGATCGTAAGTTAATTTAATATGTACAATGTTTTTAATGGGGGAGTAGAAATTGCTTTAATATGTATAATGGGGGACTAGAAGTTGCTTTGATATGTATAATGTTTTTAATATTAAAAGAGAGGGGATGATAGAGATAGAGATAGAGATAGATAGATAGAGAGAGAGAGAGAGAGAGAGAGAGAGAGAGAGAGAGAGAGAGAGAGAGAGAGAGAGAGAATTGGCAAATTTTATTATTTTGGAATATTTCTGTTCAACAGGAAGATTAGAACAATTATGTTTGGATAATCAGTGATTTAAATCAACTTTATATAAGCGAAAATACACTACTTTGTATTTAAGGAAGACATTCTTTATTTGTTTCAAAACAAATTTCGAAACTTTATACGAGTACTACATAAATTTTATATATAGTTCTTTATATAGGTCTTTGTATTACAAATAATTTCACTGTAACAAATAATTGACTGTTAGATTAAAGGTTCTACTTATTTACCTTAAATAAATTTGTCACAGGTTACACAAGCAGATCTCTTTCACACAGAGATGTCGATGATGTCCGATACTTTGGATAAAATGAATAAGTTGTTGGAGCCAAAGCACCGTTTGAGTGCGAAAATTCTTTATGCGCAAAATGAAAATCCAACGCTTCTAATGATCGAAGATCTCGCATCTCTCGGTTTTCAAATGGCTGATCGTTCATCTGGTCTCGACTTAGATCATTCTCTAATGGCATATCGCGGACTTGCCAGGTTTCATGCAGCCTCCGTTGTCGTATGTGAGAAGGTAAATCACCACGCGTGATTCACAATTAATTGGAACATTTCCATTGCAATTATTAAGAATTCGGATCAATGGAATGAGTACAAGGGCCATTGAAAGATGAAATTGACACATTAATATTAAACATAAAAAATTCTTAATATTAAATATACTTATATAATTACATATGAGATATATTTTCCCGGTCAACCATCCAATCCAAATAAGAATTTCAAATTTTGTAATACAAATATTTTTAATTGGTATACAGTATTTTAATTAGTATTTATTTCGAATCAGATTAAATTTAACAGAAACGAATAGCCATAAATGATGCTAGAAAAAAACTTTTGAAACTTAATTTGGCGTACTCTTTTATAAATACAATTTTGCGAAGTGTATAACTTGCACATGATCATCTCAACAGATAAAAATTTGCTAATAAAAATTTGCTTAAAGATTTGTAAATATATTCCTTGTATTATAAAATTTTTTCGACATGCGTATTAGGCTCTTGTTACTATCTCTAAAAAAATATGCCTCAAATTTGTTAAAGAAAATGTGTATTACTGTGTAGATTTCTTGTGTAGCTTATTGATCTATACAGCAATCTGAATTTCCTTCTCACTACAAACTTAATTATTTAATTTTATAATCAAATGGAATACATTAAAACATAAATACATTAAAACATACTTTAATAACAATATTCTAATACTCAGAATCCTAAGCAAAAAGAGATGTATTCAAAAGGAATGTTTTATAATCAGCACTCGTCAGAAATGAAATCTTTCTTCAATATGGGTTCCAAAGCTTTAGCAGATGAGATTGCAAACTGGCCTGAAGCGAAAAAGTAAGATTTGTATTTATGACAATATTTATTACTTTTTAATTAATGTTTACGATATTCTATGATGCATGCATTAGATAAGTATTTAATATGAACAGAAAGATCATTAGAAAAAAATTGCAAATATAAATTCCATTGTTTAGTGCAAATATTTATATTATCTTCACATAAGTTTTTTAAATATAATTTTACATTTGGTTGGTTTTCATTGCTAGATACTCGGAAAAAGTTTCTAAACTTTCCGATCACATGTATCAAATAGGAATAGATGCACATATGCTCTGTGAAGACGAATTTAATGTTATTAACCATGGTGATTGTCACATGAATAATATGTTATTCAAATATGACAATAATGGCAAACCTACTGATCAGATTTTTGTAAGTACTATTACATCATAAAAAATCATATACGTCCTCCAAATATGTGCTCAATACTTTATTATAATCAAGACTTTATATTGGGACTAAACTTAAGTAAAAATGTTTTATAAAATGTTAAATAAAACCATTCATGAAACTTTAGTATGTATTTACATGTAATAAGACAAGTCCCAAATAACGTGCATATTGCATAAAATACTTTTTAGACATAAGATAATATTTAAAAGGTGCTCACCTTATGCAATATAAATGTTATTTGGGGTGTTGTTAAAAAGCAAATTTACTTATAAAATATATCTTTTATATTGAGAATCAAATCTAAAATTTATTATAAACATAAATTAACATAGCTCATTGTCAATTACTTCAATTATCTACATTTCTGAATTTTTGTTGTAATTTTCATAGTTAAATATAACGATATAAATTTGCATAATAATAAATTAAAGGAACCGATACCGTTTCGAAAGATATATATTAGCAATTTAATTATCTGCAATTTTAGCAACAGCAATTAAAACAAATAGATGGTGATGGTATGAGAAACTTGAAAATGGAATGTGTTTTGAATAAATGCATTCAGTTTAATGGTGTAAACATATTCATCTGTCGATGTTATCCATATAAGCCATCAGCATTGTCGCTGCGACTTCTTAAATATGATATCTCCCCCCTTCCCCCTTCCTCCTTCATCATTTTCTTATCGTGCGTGCGTGCGCGTGCGCACGCGCGCGCGCGCGCGCGCGCGTGTGTGTATGTGAGTGTGTGCGTTGAAAATTTTATCTCCAATACAATTGATTTAAAAAATTGATCGAAAATATTCATTTAATATTGCAGGTAGACTTTCAAATGTGTATCTATGCATCGGCGGCACTCGATTTTATTTATTTACTCAATTCAAGTATTTCCTTCGATGTTACTGAACACAAGACAGATATTTTATTAAACGAATATCTTCACACCTTATCAACGACTATGAAACAATTGAATTGCAAGACGCAGCCACCTACTATGAAAGAACTGAAAGCTTCCATAAAACGAAAAGCTAGCTATGGAATGATGGCTTCTTTTACCATTTTACCCTTCTTGCTATGCTGCAAGTCTGAGGCAAAAAATTTGGATGAAGTACTGTGCAGTAGTACTTATATGAATCCAGGTTTAAAGAGTGAGATTTTTAAAGAAATATTGATAAAAAGACTGCCACTATACGACGAATGGGGTTTGCTGGATCTCTAATGTATACTTCACAGTGATAGAATATTAAAGTTGAAAAAAAATAGAAGTTTAGGAAATAATAATTAGATGTAAATATAACGAACATTAAAATTAATAGCAATAGACGAAGAATGTTAACGTTTTAAAAAAGGTTTTTTTTTTAATTAATAACTATAATAAACGTGAAATTGTATATAATGATATTTTTGATTCGAAAAATTAAAAAAATATTCTTTTATGATATAGTTTCATTTTTAACTCATTAAAGTTTTAAAATAATTCATGATTTTTTTAAATATTATCATATCAGAGATAATGAGGTATATACATACATACATTTTGTTTTGTTATTTTAATTGTATGTTAATACTGTTTGAGTCAACATATGAGGAGCTGACTTCCAAATTCATTTTGTCCAAAATTTTATTTATTGAGTTAAAGATAGCATAGTGTTCAGTATTTAAATTCAGAAATTTAAATTTTAAACTACTGTACGATGTTTTGAAAGATTTCTACACCATCAATTTATGTGTTACAAAAGATCTTGACATTCGAAATGCATTATGTTCTTGAATTAAGGATAAACAATATTTGTTTAATATTTTTAGCAACTGTTTAACAATTTTGTTGAACACTTCATATCTTATCAATTGATAAATTATCTTAAAACACGTAATTTTCTTCTTCTGGCTTTCTTCTCGTTTTCTGAAAATATATTATAAGTTTTGAACAACGCATTTTGAAAAGTTGTTCCTCATATGTTAAAAAAAAAATGACGGTAAAATTGCGTGCGTGCGTGCGTGCGTGCGTGCGTGTGTGTGTGTACCTATATATATATATATATATATATATATTTCGTAAAAAAAAGATGTATATAATATTATTTTATGGTACCAAAAATGACATGTAAATTAATTAAAGTATTTTAGGTTGTATTAACATATTAGAATGTGTACAAGAAAAATTAAAAAAAATTACATAATAATGTATAATAAGATAACCGGACCTTATGGGTTACGTAAGTTTTGAGATCTTTTTTTAAATTTTTGCTGAATCTAAAATTGCAAATTATTCAAATCTATTTTAAAAAAGAAACATTCCTAAACGTTTAATTTTGCTGACGATCAATAAAATTCGTATTCTGATTTTTTATATGCAAGACTACATTACGTACAATTATTGTAATTATTGTAATTGATTATTATTGATTAATAAGTTAATTATTAATAGCAAATTTTTAATATTAAATTTATTTTAATTTTTGAATTTGATTTGAACTGAAGCAAGTGTTGCTTCTCTCGTCAATGATAATCCTCTTTCCTCCATCCTTTTTTTTTACAATACAATCGTCGTATAATAAGGATATCTTAAATGATAGCAATCAGTTCATAGAATGAAACAGAAATGTACAATAATAATCAAGTGTAATTAATCTGTAGGAATGAAATATACTTGATAAATATTTTACAAAACTTTACATTTTTATATAACAGCACGATTGACACGTGGCTTTAGTATCTGTTTCTTTTTGGCATATTATTTATTGTCAGCGTGCTGCTATTCAAGTAGATAGTTTGAACTCTTGTTTTCAGCAGGTCACTCTGAATATCTTCAGTATTTTTTTTTTTTGAACGAAATTGTGATAAGAGTTAATACGAAATGTCGTATATTACACAATCGTACATACAATTACCAACTATGGTTGTTAGCTAATTTCGTAAATGATCAAGATTATAATTCATATATTACAGATGTTTCATGCAGTTTAATCATTTAGAATTGAAATATAATAAAAAATAGGATTTATAATTGTTTCGTGACGATTTACGATAGTTATTTTTGTTTAATAGAAAATTTTTCTTCCTCTCTATATACATATATCTGTACATTTTTAACTATATCATACAAATTAGAAATAAAGTAAAACTTTAATAAATAACATACGTAAATAACACAATTTATGCGATTCCACAATTAATATAATATATAATTAATAACGATTTAACTAATTTTTCATTTTCGTGTGTCTTTCGCAATATCGACGAAGACGTACAAAAATTAAGCATTTGAGAATTTTATGATTGTTTACCGACAATGACAATAAACTGGAAATAAATCGAAGAATTAGTTTTCATTCTTATTAATATCTGGCCAAGTCAATTGATGCCGTAATCACATCTTACAGGAATTATAATAAAAAGCTTATCTTTTCTGCCTATTATGAAATTATTTAGTTGCACTGTGATAAACTAACGCTTGCTTGACACTCGATCATTTTTACATGTGAACCATGAATATTATATTTCAAACGATATTTTTCCTCCCATATGTATAATCTGTATAAGTTGAATCTTGATTTAATCAAGAATAACCTCAGTTATTCTTAAGATTTTAATGTAGATATCAAGCATGTGATGAATGAATATAACGATGCAGATATAAAGTCTGTAAATTTAGTTCTGCATCATTTTAAAGCTAGCTTACGAAACGCAATAGTGAAATAATTTAAAAGAAGGATTACTTAACAACTGAAGACGAAGATTAATAAAAGAGTCAGATAAATTTTTTGAAAGTAATGCTTTTTATCAATACTTTAGGTCTCCGTCTTTTTCTGTATTAAACTGCAGCAGAACTTTCTTCTTACTTTCACGAAATATCTAAATAAAGGATAATTAATACATGGGGTATAATAATACACTTAAAATTGTAAAAACATTAAATGTAGTATTTATTACTATATTTATTATATCATATATTATTATATATCATATATTATTATATATATTATTATTATATATTATTATATAATTTCAACTGTTTCTTTAAAAAATTTATTTAATGAGTAATAACTTACAATTTAATATTTGAAGACATAAATATATGTATTCATGTCTTCAAATATATTTTTTGCTTAAGCTTAAGCAACAATTCAAATATGTAAATATTGTCTCTTATTATTATAAATATTCAAATAACGTTGTAATTAATATGTACTTATACATGTCTACAATATTCACATATTATACACTTAATATCTGAAAATTATTAATAAATTTATGTTCTGCACATTTTTGAGTATTTTCTTTAATTATATGCGTTATATTCTCAAATCTAGATTTGTAATGACTCTACAATGAGTCTGTAGTCGGAAGTCTAATGGCGAATTCGGAAAAACTAGTACGCCCTAGTGCATATTAAAGGCGTTCTAAACTAATTTAATTTGAATATATAAATGAAATGCAAATATTTCGAATAATATAATAAAATACTTATTTTACCTAATAGTACAACATAATATATTGAATATTTCAGGAATTAATTTCTATGTTTATATAAACATATGTTTATATAAACATATTTTTACGTTATTTCGTGTATGATGGTTTTAAATGTGCGTACTGATTGCGTCCAATTAAATTCGCTATAAATCTTAATCAATGAAGCTGATCAGCGTTAATCATACAAGTTGGCTATTGATCAGCTTCACCGATAAGATTTAAGACTACAGACTATCGACTTAATAATATTACAGGATCAGTATGATTCCAGTAACTGTGTTAAGGGTTTGTACTATTTTAAAAATTTGCGCGTGAGCGTGCTAACCCGTGCATCTACGCGTATACAAGAGATTGACGCTGACGACTGGCGCTTCAATCACGCTAACAGCCAATCAGAGCGGCGTTGCTGCTGTACATCTCTTCCGTGGCTGTGCATGCGACGTTTTTCGCCATTAATACGTTGTAGTTTGAGAAGTCTATACGTGCATACGAGCGTACGTTAATAAGTTCAAAAAAGTAAGTTCAACAAGATGTCCTTTCGAAAGAAAATTGCATTGGATAACGGCAGAGGTGGCAGGGTGCATCCTCGGATCAATTGCCTGTATCGATTAGCACAGGAATATAAAACTTGTTGGCTGACGATCCGAGGAATCCCAGTCCGCGTGCATGGGTCAGCCATTGTTGCGTATACGTCGAATGTACGTAATTTTGATTGCGTACATTGGCTTTGCTGAATGTATGAACTGTTTGCTGCATACTTGAAGTAAAATGAGAGCTCTTTAGTCCAACACACGGAAATACTGGATGAATGTTGTAATCGTTAACTATTTTATTCCTCTCTTGGGTAAGTTACACGTAATATAGCATACGAGCACGGGACTCGTATAAAGGATTTCACCAATCCTGACTGCGTATCTGCAAAGATGGGATCGGGAGAACGGGATCGATGCATATGAGGAAACACCTTTACCTGTCAGGATCCAATTTTACATGGACGACATCGATATGTATCAAAGAACTCGCACATCTCTAGCAACATATATCATTTGTATAAAACGATTTAATTCAGGATGCACTCGAAGGAATTGTCATTAAAATAACATATTTTAGAACAAACTATAGAGACTTTACACTGCCGATACTTGCGATATCTTGCTACATTAAAATGTAAATGTTATTACGTCGGACGCATTCCACCGACTTACAATGATTGAATGATTGAGCGCATTATTAACTTAACTATATCGACATCATCATTATTAGTAATAATTCCTTGGTTATACTTTTGTCCGTTTACTGTGCATGTTTGATTATGTTATATTGATATTTCAATTTATGCTCATAGTGTCCTTTATTATACTGCTATGAATGTGCTTTATATCGAGTCAGATCGAAGCTACCCATGCTCAAAGAATTAACAATTAGTTCCTGTAAGTGAAATACCGATACTTGATTTATTGTTCACAATAAAAAATTCTTTCCTTTTGATTACGTTTTATTAGTACTTCGTCACGCATTATTTCGATTCTTAATTTAATTAGCAATGCTAATACTTACTCTTTCAATACTTAAATCTCTATTATGACTAAGCTTAGACTTATTCGATCTGACTCCAGCTGTCGTGGGAATTATTTCCATGGAAATGTTTGTGCGCATGCGTAAGCTGCTGTTACAGGATGCATTCCATTTCTTGCATGAAGCGAGTGAGTGCATGGCATGGAATACTGGGTATATTCCGTTTCTCCAATACGTACAGTTTTAGTAACGGAATGGATTCGCAGTGAATTCCTGCAATGAACATGGACGACAATTTAAAATTGACTGAATTACAAATGCATTCAATAATTACTGTTACATCATTTTTGACAAAAAAAGATTTATATTTTTATTTATATTTTTATTTATATTTTTCGAGCAGCACTTACAATCTTATTCTGCAGGAAAAAAAAATAAAACATATTAAAAATGTCCAAATAGGATGTTTAATATCTTTCTAAAATATTAGAAATTTAACAAAAATTTTACAGATTATTCTTACATATGTTCAGACACTTATGATAAAATCCGAAATCGATTCACTGTGAAACAACTTGAAGTTATAAGAGTTTAAAAAGATCTTATAAAGATTTTAAAGTTAGATTTGAGATATTGTCATTATCAAAAATTTTTCATTTTTTTCAGAAATAATTAGCAATAGAAATTCAAAAATACATTTCTGCATTTTAGTTACGAGTAAATGATAAGATTCTGTATACAATCTTTATTATTCAAACCATATGAAAAGAGCACATATTCGTCAAAATCAAATTTCAAGAACTTTTTGCAATTATACATACAAAACATCCGTTAAAGTCCATTATTTTTACTTTTCTCTACCTATCTTGTAAACTTAATCTCTATCATAATCTACTATTTTATATTCAGGAATTTAAAATGATACGAAAAATAGCGGTAATATATCAATATATTAATTTTTCAGTATTATAAATCAGGGACTAAAAACCGATATTCTATAGCAGTATACGCAACACCAAGATCCAAATACCAATATTTGGCGTTAAATACTGATATTCAACCGAAATTTTCATAATATCAATACACGCATAATTTTTCGATAATACCAGAGTATTATACCATATATATATATATATATATATA